AGGTGGCATTCTATGACAGTTCCACGCTGGAATTCACTGAGCTCCTGAGAGCGGCCCATTCTTTCACAAATGTTTGTAAAAACAGTCTGCATGCCTAAGTGCTTGATTTTATACACCTGTGGCCAGGCCAAGTGATTAGGACACCTGATTCTGATCATTTGGATGGGTGACCGAATACTTTTGGTAATATAGTGTATATTAAATGAAAAGATCCAATTATGACCAATACATGTTTGTCAACAGCTTAGGTCCCTGGTCGTCTAGTGGTTAAGGATCCTCCGCTCTCACTGCCATGGCCCAGGCTCGATTCCTGGGCAGGGAATCAACCCAGCCACTGAGAATATACTCTCAGTGCTGGTCGTAAGCCTGGATAAAAATGGCAGGGTTGTGTCAAGAAAGGCATCCGGCATAAAACCTATGCTAAATCATGCCAATGATCTGCTGTGGGGACTCCTAACAGGAGCAGTCAAAAGAACAACAACATGTTTGTGGATAACTTACCCATTTCATACAGGCTAAGTTGATTGGTTGTAAAATCTACCTACCAGTTTTGATTAGAATAATTTGGACCAATACTTTTAAATAAAATGGAAAACAAATGTCTCTCATCTTATATGTTGTGTTCTATGTTGTGTTCTTTATGTAAATTTCTAGTTAATACATTTTGTCACATTTGATTATGGGAGAAATGAACTTGTATATTGATGCGTATGCTTAATGCTTAACTTTCCCAACTGGCAATTTTCATGCCATGTCGGGTGTCTGCCATTATCTACCAAGATTTAAAGTGTATTGCAACTTGTTTGATGGAAGAAGAAATGACATGACACCAGTTTATATTTAATACATATCAGCAAGCATACTCAACTATTTTCACACATGAAGTACCTTATAAAATAGCTTAGTGTAGATGTGCTCTGGGCTGCTGGATAGTTAATTTTAAAATTAGAAGAGGTTATCCTACCAAAAACCAATAAAAGACCAAGATGTGGTTAATATATTGCTGCTACGACTTTGCTTTTACATTAATAAATTAGCATTATACATTAATACATTAATAATTAGCCTTGATTTTTTGTGACACAATTGTATTTCATGATTGCAAGTATTACAAATCTCCACAATAAAGTAATATAGTGAATACTGATTATAGTGAATTGGTGATTTAAATATTATTAAAGTAGGAATACTTCAGAGACATCAATGTGAGGTAGTATGGGTAAGACAAATGTATAACAATTTGCACTGTAGTTGAATGGATGTATGTAGAAAATACATCAGATATGCATATAGTAGGCACTAACATTAAATGTATCTCTGTGCTTGGTGGAAGGAGAGGATCACTATGGCAACATCAGCAGGGCTGGCCATTGCTGGTGCATAGCCACTGGCACACAAATACAGATGGAACGGGTTAGCCTTTGGCTGAGCTACAGCAGGATGGGTAAAGTCCTGCCTATGTCAGTCTGGTTTCTCTAATCTGTGGATATAAGTGCTTCTGAAAATGTGGTCTTCATTCATCCTCGCTGCCTGACCCATCCTAATGCCCTACTTCTGGTTGGAGTTCTCATCGGTTGAATTTGCTCGCTGCTGCTGGAGGTGGCCCCATATGAACGGCCTGAAGAACCATTTGGTTTGCTGGGGATAGTGCCACCTGGGGGCTGTGGGGATCACATGTGGGGAGCTGTACTGTAATGGCTTGGGACCGCGATTTCTGTAGTAGCTTTGGGGCTGCGGTTGCCACGAGCACCTTCGTACTCAGGACTCCATCAGTGGACAGTGGATAAAATTTAACCAACCGGACTTCTTGAAAAAACTGTGATGAATTTATTGGTTGCACAATTGCATTATTTGTCCATATAGTACAAAATAATAGAAGGGGTTTATTTATAATTGCACTATCCATTGTACCCAGATGAGGATGGGTTCCCTTTTGAGCCTGGTTCCTCTCAAGGTTTCTTCCTCATATCATCTCAGGGAGTTTTTCCTTGCCACTGTCGCTACTGGCTTGCTCATTAGGGATAAATTCACATATTTACAATATATTTTTTGTGAATCCATTTATTTCTGTAAAGCTGCTTTGTGACAATGTCCATTGTTAAAAGCGCTATACAAATAAAATCAAATTGAACTGAATTGAATTTAAAATGATGCAAATGATTTTATTATGATGTAATGACTTTGCAGACCATTGCTTTGTTTTTTACACCTGCTAAATTTTAGAATGTCATCCTGTATTCATGACTGGGGTACATCCTACCTACTAAGTTGCTTAGTCTTTCAGATTTATTTTGTTCCTTGGTGCGTCTTTCTATAGAAACCCTGGTTTGGGCTTGAAAGTCCATCAGGAGCTACTACTGGGAACACTGTAGTAAATTAGCTGTTTAGGTTAAGATGCCCGCATTCTCCAATAAAATATGTAGGAAATTAGCAGATCAGCTCAGAAGGGGAAATTCTGCAAACTTAATATTTTAATAGCTGCTCAACTATTTGTCCAGAGACAAGTTGAAATTAGTAGCCATATTTATTAATTGTGCATGGGACATTACATCCGTGGGCACCAGCAATAATATCCTAAATATAGTGAAACACTATATTAAAACACAGTAACAAGATCAGTAAATTATAAGCAGAGAGACACAAGACACTTGCTTTTAAAAATCAGACAAGACTTTATTAAACTATTCTAAAACACAGAAACTAATCTAACACAAACACACACATGCACGCACACACACACACACACACAAAGGTCAAACAGAGGAGGGTTTTGAACAGAGAATGAATGAAATCCCAAGTTTCTAGGACTGTATGCTATTTCCCATCAACTTATCAATTTAACCTTTGTTTTGTTTAGAAGGTCTTCAAACTTTGTATTAAAAGCACCAGTTCAGTGAGAATCTGGAGGTACTGTACTTCTGTTTAAGTTGCTCTAGATGGGGATTCGTCAGCAGTCTGTTTGCTTTTGAGTGGCGTCTCAGAGGACCAATCAGGATGAGGAATGGAGTGAAAAGTATGGAGCATTATTTATTTTCTTTCTTACTTTTCCTTTCTATTTTCTGTGGCATTGTTGATTTTTTACTGCATCTATTTTTTAAAATTCCCTATTTATCTATTAGGTGCTCTAATTTAAAATGGAATCTTCTGTAGTAAGGGACAATATTCTGGTCCTGTTAACAAAATGGAGAAAAATTGGGGTGGTATAGATTATAATCAGATTAGACTGTAGTATAAACTAAATAAAGGGACATTTCCAGAGAATGGCACCCTATGTGTGTAGACTAGAAGGGTGCAGGAAAGTTCTAGAAGAATACTAATGGTGAAGATAATACTAAGAATACTACTGGGGAGAGTTTAAAAATGGGAGAGGGAAGCAAAATATAGGCAAGGCATCAGTGAGGGAAGAAAGAGAAAAACAGGCTGAAAAGACAGGCATTTATTAAAAATAAAAAAAGAGATCACTGCCTGGACCTCCAGCCTATCCACATGGCACCCCAGCTCCAGAGGGCCGACAAGTTGATCTAGCCCAGTCTGTCCCTCAACCTTCTACTCAACTCTCTGCACCACCCGAAGAAGACCTGCAGGGTACTGTAAGAGGACTGTTTGAAAGAGAAATCGCCAGCACAGCACATAATGGTTCAGCAGAAGCATAAGAGAGATGCTGATGTAAAAAGTCATACAAGGTCTGGCAGCTCATTTTGATCCATAACTCCTGAGAAAATGTCCTGTCCTGGTGAAAGACAGCCAGAAGCAAGCCAAATGCCCTTGATCCAATTCCCAAACCCAAGAGCTGGACAAGATGCTGGATAAGGTAGAAGACATCCTGAGGCTGTGTACATTTTTCGGCCACTCAAATTGTCTGAACTAGACTCTAGGTTCAAAGACATCATGAGCCCCAAAGTGAATGTGGATCAGTGCATCAAAGACTAGGTAGCTCTCAATGACAGGGTCAAACTGACCAACCAGGAGTGGACTAAAGTCATGTCTAGAGTCTGTGGGCTCAAATGGGAACAACTGTGATGAAGTGAAGAACATCCATGGGAGCTCGATGCAGCTCGACACTCTGAGCATCATCCCACGATTTGGGACCACCTGATGAGATGAATCAAAAACAATTTCCTGGTAACTAGAAACTGGGACAAAGTCAGTAACAACAGACAGAAACTCAGTGAGTCACTCGTGGACTATTTTGAATGAGTGGCTTAAGCTGTGAATGACTACACTGGACTGGTGAATGCAGAAGATAAGGCACAATATGTCAGAGAAGTTCTGGCTCAAAGACTGGAGAAGAAAATGACTGAGATGGCTAAAACTATCTGCATTGGCTGGCAAAATAAAAACTATATAGAACTATATACATGCAATACATGCTAAAAGAGTTTTGAGGGACAAACAAAGTAAAACACAGCACTCTTTCCAAATGGCACAACTTCAATTCTACCAAGGCAATCAGCAGTTTGGGAGAGGAGCTGGTGGCTATCGAGAGGTCAAGGCCGAAATTGTGGAAGTGGTCGAGGTCATGGTAGGAGCACCTATGGTGCTTGTTATCATTGTGCCCAGCTAGGCCATTTTATGAAGATTGTCACCAGCTAGAACATCAAGGAAGGTTCCCAAATTCTCAGTTACAACACCTAGACAGACATAGGATGAGGCAGAGGAAAAGGCTGTAATAAACCAAAATTTGCAATTGACTATTGATTCTAAACCAGACCCATTTATTAAGCTAACTATTAAAGGTAAAGTAATTCCCTTTTTGGTAGATATTAGATCATGTTCAGTACTGTCTAAATCAGCAGGAGAAACTGATTTTTGCCTTTTTTAGACAGAATCCCAACCAAATTGTGATCCAAAGATGCGTTCGATATTAGTGTAATGAACTCTCAACCCCTGCAGGTGGTTCCTATTGTTAACTATAGGACAGAGTCCTCTTTCAGCTGAAGCTGAAAAAGTGCTGAGTGAGATTATAGATTCACTTTTACACATTCTCCTGACACTGAGGATCTGCTAATGTTTCTCACTGAAAATGACCATAAGTGCACATGTGACAAGTTGCAACTGATTAAACAATCTGTGAAGAATTCAGGTCATATTATCTTCAATAACTGTAGACAAATTGACTCAGATAGGATAGTTTCAATTTTCAAGTTACCCAAACCTTGTACCTAGAAGTAGGCTATGTCTCTTCTTGGCATGTTGAATTATTGTCATGCTTGGATACCTTAATTATGCTGAAACCTCCCAATCATTAATAGATCTAGCTCACAACCCCCCATTCAGAAGAATTATTCAGTAATTTACTCTAGAGTAATATTACTCTAAGAG